AAAAACTAGGCTTATACTCGAGTATATACAGTATATCATTATAGGTCACCAATTTGGAAAATTAAAGAAGAGATCATTAGTTAGCCCAGAAGGTCCATTCCATTGTGTGATAGTCCATGGCATAGGCCGTCTCAGCCATGTTGCCTGCTTTTAATTTAGATTTTCTAAATTTAAAGGGGGCAGTGTTATTTTAGAATTGTTATTTCTGAAATGTGTATTGTTATTTCTCTTTTTACAGAATATTGAGGTACAAAGTCTTAGTTACTAATTGGGTAATAACACCATGGAGTGCCTTCAGGAATAGGTGTTTTTTAAAAACATGGTAATTTATTGTTTTTATTTTTCTTAATACAGCTTCACATGGATTTTTTCAAAAGCAACAAATCAACCGCAAACTAGCAAATGCAAAATGTCGGTGTCAGTCAATGCAGAATTAATGAATGTTGGATCAATACAGATACATATCACAGATACATACAAACCTATGCCAATAGATACATTATCTGAAACGTCTCTGGTGCTTCACTTTACACCACAATTCCAATTGTACTCTACTTTCTTTTATTTTCTCAGAAGGTTCACTCAAGGTCTTGTGTTTAGTTAGTCTCAGTCAGAATAATGATAAAAAGTTGCCCATCAGTAGATTTTGTGTAGCTCGGTCATAGAGCAAACTTTAAGTATGCAATAGTTACTTTAATAAGATGCATATCCTAGGAAAAGGAGACACCAGCATTTATATTTTGGTTCAAATCTACAGTGGTTCTTGAGGTAAAGAAAATGAATATTGCATTGAGTACTAAAATCTAGATTTAGAGCAAACCCTGAATATATATTTATGTGCACACTTTAAATTTAAACTTTAAAAAATGACATGGAACCTATTTAAGCCACCATTAATTTAAAAAGTAAGTGTAGATGGCTGAGGCATTCTCAATTGCTGGTTTATGTCTGTCGGGGGAAAGTACTCTCAATTTTAAAAACTTAATTTGTGATAAAATCTAAAGTGTTGAAATCCATGAGAATTTTTGCTTGTCTTATTGTACAGAAATGTTATCTATATTACAGTTGTTATTCACTTTTTACTTTAAGAAATTTGAGGCTAGCATAATCTATTTCATTATAGTCACTGTCACTCCATTACAAACTACAGAAATAGCATTTCATAAATATGTAAAATATTGCAAACTTCTATTCTAAGCCAATGGTAAATATTTAAAATCTGATATCTATCAGTTCTATTAAGCTTGTCTTAATTCTATCCCTACTAACCATAACAGATCTTACCTTGCTAAAAGTTAAACATATTTCTTAGCCAACCTCCAAGGCTTGACTTATAGAATCTATAAAAGTTTCATCTAGCTCACCACCAGGAGATCAATTTAGCAATTTCCTAATAACAGACACAGCATAAATAGATCATATTTCTGTGTAAAAGAAGCAATACATGGTCTACTGAGTCAGTGTTCCTCTTTTCATAAGAGCAAAGGTGCTGCTTATATGCAATTTTCTTGTGTCCACCAACTAAAATTGCTGATAGCATAACATTAAATCTGGTCAGAGCTAAAACTCTTCACCATTTTAGCATCATGATACAAAACACATAAGCAGTTGGTCGGAAACTACTAATAACACCCAGTAAGGGGAAATATTTTGGGGTGACATTCAGAATAAGATCCAAATTCATTCTTTAATTGGATTCATAATATTATTCTGAAGAGCCCATTGATTCTGAAGAAAACTCATTTCTCTCCCTTTTACCTTTAAAACTATATTTCAGCCCTACTGGAAACCCAGAAAGAGTGGGGGATGGGGAAGAATCAATTTTAAACAAAAAGAAAATTATAAACCATGGACTATAACAATTAGGCCATTGTTTCCATCCCCTGTTCAATGTGGAATCCAAAGTACTCTCATTTGAGAGATGATTGTCTGGACTAAACTTGAACATATCGCTCTGATAATTGGTTCTGCTGTAAATTCCTCTTACGATTAAGATTTTTTTTAAAAAAAATCAGTTAGAAGGTGGTTTCTTGTGGCTTAATACAGTTTATCTTGAATTCTGGAATTAGAAAGAACAGAGTTTCTATATGACATCTGTTGAGATATTTGAAGAGTACCATTACATTTCCTCACTCTTCCCAAGATGAAAAATCCACATCCTTCAAGCTCTATTTACAGTACTTTATTACTATCCAGCAGAACAAAGTTCATTTTCTTAAAGCTAAAGTTTACTCTATAGAATCATTATCACCATTAATAAAACAAGGAATCTGAGAAAACACATTTGGAAGTACTATATTAGCTAGGACACTGTTATTATTACAGCATTTATATAGCCAATTTATATAGCCAACCTCTTGGAATTGCAATGGGCATCATTACAGTTTTCTCTCTTAGATAATCTAAAACTCTATGAAAAAGTAGAGCATAAGATGATCAGGTAAACTCATTCTCATATCATTTTTGGCATAATGTCAAAAGACAAACTCCAAAGAAGCAATTATATCAGACTGTTTAGACCTGTTTATTTGTAAGCCCTTGCATCTTTGTGACAGGAGGATCAGTGACCATATTCCTGAATCAGTGGTGGGTTCCTACCAGTTTGGACTGATTCGGCTGAACTGGTAGTGGTTTGGTGGCCTGGGTCACTGGAACCAGCAGCGACCCAGGACTACCACTCCACCGAACTGGTTCGGGTCATAGGTGCAGCCATCTTGTTTTTCAGTTCTGCACACGAGCAGAACAATTTTGATTACACTGTGAATGCGCGGATGGTGTGCATCAAGCGCATGCAGCATACACTCAAGCAAACTGGCAGTAGTGCCTGCCGGAACCCATCCCTGTCCTGAATACAACCATCCCCTTTAGGTTAAATAATTCGATGGTCTGGAGCTCTACCCAAATTTCAAAGCACAAAAGAAGAAAAAAGAGAAAAAAATGATGGTTTTAAAGAAAAAAATCTTCTCAGAAACAGGATTGACAATCAAAGAGAAATCAATTAAAGTAGCAAAAGGACGCTGAGATTTCCTGAGAGATCCAGTAGACAATAAGGTGTGGAGAGACATCCACAAAAACTTTACCAAGGAAATAAATAGAAAATTAACTCCACAAATGGCAAAAGAAATAAGTCTACATGCCTTCTGGAAGGACACAGGTTGATATATGAAAATCGATAATAAAAAATAATAATAATAGCTAAGTTTGATGATTA